TCATTAATCTTAAAGGTTAGATTTGCGTTATGTTTTTTCCTGAATGATTTGAATATAATGTAGTTAGTCTTTTTAATATTTAAGGTAAGCTGATTATCCTTAAGCCATGTTTGCACAAGTATAAGTTCATGATTTATTTCTATTTAAGTATACTGTATATAGCTTATAAAGCAATAAAAAACGCAAACAACACAATCTGATAAGTAACTGAATTTTATGATGGACACTAAAGTGCCTTACAATGGTTGTCTAATAACATATTGTGACATGAGTGAGGGTCTTCTTTTAATATTACAGTTAAAATATTTCACTTTGTTTAATAGAATATTGCGGTAACTACTGTGAATGTAGCTCTACGTTCGGAAAAATATACATCATGATATTCAGCATCATGCTATCATATTGTGCATGTAACTCCCACTCGTTTTTATCGCAATTCCTTGTTCTACTTCGACTTTTATAGGGACGCATATATCTGGGCACATCAAGGGAGTTGTTGTTCACTAGCAACTACCAAGTATCACGCAAAGAACACACGCACACGCATAGAATGTTCAACGATAGATGATAGAAGATGTCAACTACATATAATACAATACAAAACATGCATTAATATAAGCTATAACCGATAAATAGCGAGTTAATATCGTAAAGAAAGTATATATATACCGATTTCTTCCCGCTTGTGTCCAGATCGCACAACCAAAACTTATAAATAAGTAAAACTATAACGAAACAGCTAGTACAAATACTATACGATAAAACCGTTGCCTTCGCAAATATTTTGTCCAGGGGCCTGGCACTAGTGCCGATGGGCAGAGGCGCTTACAGTGCAATTGTTATATACATTCAAAAAATGATGAATCTGGGGCTGAAACTGGTGCAAATTGCACTATACATCGGTGATCGTCGCAGATGACAGCCGATGTGATTCGAAATTTCTCAGCAAGGCACAAAATGGCCCCATTCAACGTAAAGTTCATGATTTCTGTCAAACTTCAGTTGATTATTTCCTTGCTTGTTGAGGAAAAAACAACTTTTACTCATTTCTCATAGATTTTTCAAGCAGGTGGCAGTCGGCGATGATCGCAAGAAACAAACTTTTTTGTTTCCTGCGATGTCATCGCCGATGGTCGGCGACGAATACGGACAATCGGCGATATAATTTTTGATGTGTTCTCATTAAATGGCAAGCGGTCGCCGACGTCGCAAAGCTCCCATCGCCGACGGTTTGCGATGAATGAGCGGCCGACAGGAGAATGTAGCGTGCTAAATATTAAACTAGGGTACCTGCAAGGTAGGGATTGCTGCAGGCATTAAAAGCAAATAGAACCACAGTAAAGAACATAAATTATATCAAGCACAGTGATTACTCGCAGCGACTAGTGAGCTGTGAATGAAACTGAGAAGAAGGACAAGAAGCAATATATATTGAAGCAATATATATTGTACGACTTTTATATGTTCTTGTTGTACTGATGTCCAATTTAATGTGTAGTTTTAATAGTAAATTTGTAATAAGTAGACGATAACAGTTGAACAGAAGGCCCAGTGTAAGATTAGCGTTGCTAAACTGTTTTTTGTATAATTGCACCTTCTTTAAATAAAGTTTATTATTATTATTATTATTATTATTATTATTATTATTATTATTATTATAAATAATTCCCTTCCTACGCGAAAAAAACCTTACAAGATGGGGTTTAGCTTCAAGTCCCGAATGTTCCTTTTGTTTGTGTCCTGAAACCCTACTACACGTGGTGGCCGGCTGCCAATCGTACCTTCAGCGCTTTACTTGGAGACATGATTCTATTTTAAACTTTCTCGCTGAAACGTTTCAAACAACAAATCCATGTCAACTTTATGCTGACCTATCCGGACACAAAAGCCCGTCAATTATAACTGGTAACCTATATCGACCGGACTTACTCCTAATTACCCCAAATGAAGATCTTTATGTCCTTGAACTTACTGTCGGGTTTGAATCTAATCTACATAATAACGTTAAACGCAAAAAAGCAAAATACAAAGATCTAATTGAAGATCAAAGGGGTCACTTTAATTCTGTTAAATTTGTAAACCTATCAATGAGCTCTCTCGGTGTGTTTGACAAAGAATGCTTCACCTTTTTAGAAATGTTAGACACTATAGGAATGGATAAAAAGCAGCAACATTACTGCATAAAAAAGATGACGTCTTATGCCATTAGAGCGACGTACTATATTTTTTGCTGTCGAAACAAAGAGTGGACAAACCCAGAATTGTTAAACATTTAAATTAATAACTACATATAACAATATATATATAATCATATACCCATTTTATTCTTGTTTTTACTGCAAATAGTACATATGTAGTACTCTGTGATTCATGTAGCCAATTGTAAATTACCTAAGTCAGTAGTGAGATTTACAATTGTATATATATACGTAAAAAATTCAATAAAGTTTCCATTATTATTGAGCAAAGATTGAAGTAGCAAAGACCAGGGGTTAAAGGGCAATCAGAGGTGACAGATATTAAACATGTGCGTCTCATTGACATACAGGTAAATTCAGATCAGATTTCATATCAAGTCTGTAAGTCTGTTTACTGCTAGGCGCATTTACCAACATTATATAGACTATATTGTCTATATACACAGATTTATCACACTAAGAAACCAAAACTTTATAAAAAATATAGAACTGACAGTGGCCAAAGTCCAAAACAAATGTAAGCGTAACATTAGACGTCACATGAAAAAACTTTAGAAATTCGATAAAAATTCGATGGTGGGTCCTCGCGCGCTCACTTTTCCCTCACTAGAAACTTCATGTATTAGCCAACAGGAGGAACCTAGTGGCCCCATCTAGCGTATGTTTTATATAAGTGTAGTTGTAGGCGAAACGCCAGAAATGTTTTTTGCAGGGACCGCATTTTAGTACTGTGTCTGGTTTCTATTTCTAAACTGTTGCTCGAGGCTGGGGCTGATTCAAATTTGAGAGATTTTGGTTTTTGGGGATGTAGAAGATGGCCGTACGTCCTTACATACAGCATGTTGTAGGGAAGATAATGATGAAGTAAGTCAATATTTTCATTAAACTGGTTATTTAGGTAAACTTCGTTTTCAAATTTTAAGTAATTTCGGTTGCCAGTGTGTACAGACGTAGGGTATGACGTAAACAACATGCGTAATAAAGTTTGAAAACAAAGTTTACTGGCCATTTATAGTTCCAAGCCATGATAGCCATCTATAAATGTATCTCGCATTGTACGTGTTCCGGAATTCTTGATTAACATGACGTATATATAATATAGATAAGTATGATTATATAACATGAGATAAGTGTCGGTTAAGTAACTATGCGAACATCAAAACAACATACCCTAGTAACAAACAAGTTAATTACATTAGGCAATCTATCTGTTATCAATATAATTGTATTTACCATTTCTCCTTAGTAATCTTTTTTTCACATCTGACAACGTTTAAATTTTCGGTATATTGGAAAACGGGTGCACGGACACGTGGACACGGACACACGAACACTAAAAGACGGGCAGTTATGGAAAAGACGGGCATATATGATGGAAACGGGCACAGTTTCGAATTATGGAATTTAAAAAGCATTTAAGATCGATTATTTTAAGTTTTCTTAGAGCGGTCACTACCAGTATGAACCAATAGTTTGTCTGAATTGAATGTATAATGCGAAGACGCGTTAGAAATCCTTATTCTGTTCCCTACGTTACGAAACACAACGTAAAACGTTTATTTTGGCTGGAAAATTATAGGTTTTTCAAAATCTTTGTAATTAAAGTGCCACTAACCCCCTAAATTTTCTTTTCATAAAATCAATAACCGCTATTTATGGAGTACAAAAATGAAAAATTTTTTTTAATCGGTTGAATTCTCGCTATTCTATGGCTTCTCAAAGTTTGAAAAATTGCCCTAAAATAGACGCCATTTTGTCCCACGAGCGAGCGCCGATGATCTGGGCTTGTGACGTCAATTGGTGAACCGGCTGTTGTGTCAACACAAGTGTTTACAGTGCTAGGCGAGTTTGTTAGGCATGCGAACGGCGAGAAAATGCCGAAAAGATGCGTTGTTACCGGTTGTAACAACATAGGAGATAAGGAAAAAGAAATAAATATCGTTGCATGCAATTTCTTATTCGGCGGACGAACGGTCCGAAGCGAAAAAAAACCCGAAAGAAATGGACTGACTTCGTACTAAGCCTCAAACGTGCAAAATGGACGCCGACGTCGTATTCAGTCATATGTTCTGAGCATTTCAAGCCCGAGGATTTTTTGCGACGGTTTTCCCATGTCGAAGGTGAAAGCTTCGTTGGCAACAGATGGCTCAAAAGGGACGAGATCGGAATTTGTGTATTCCCAACAATCATGCCATCAGCTGACGCACAGAAAGTTTCAGACAGATACAAGAGAATGGTATGCTAATTTTGTATTTTATACATAATTGTGCATAACTTGAATTTGTTTGACTAAACTGATTTAATTAATAAACATATCATTATATAACATGCTAACACTTAAACTGATATACAGTAATTGGGTAAAGCGTATAAGAAAGACAATTTCGTTTAGTCTGTGAGAGCTTTCTTTGTCATTATTAATAATTCTGTCTTCAGACTTCAGCCTTGCAGATTTTTGTAATTTCCGTGTGCAATTTGATACAATATTATACAGTGATATAATTCTCCATCTATGTCTCTTGCTATGCCTATGTTTTAGTGAAGTCAATATGCCCACTATGACCCATAGGTGTGTATTTAAGATGTCTGAGGAGGGTATCATATTTGACTGTCAAAATAATTATAGTGAAATATTGATCAATGCATACCATGTACCCATGTATATATATATCCATGTTTGATTTGTACAGATTAAGTCGAAGAAATATTTCAAACTTTTCTCAATGTTACCAAAGATGATCTTAAAAAGGCAGCCAAGCAACTCAAAGAGTACGGTGTCTTTGCAAAGTGTTGCCCACTGCCTATGGCCCATAGATAAGTTACCCAGTATGCTTGCTGTTAATATAAATCTTTTTGTTACTGTAGTTTCACTACTACGTTGTTGAACAGAGCCAAAAGAAGTCTAAAGCAGCACCAAAATGCAGGGCATGTGAACAACCCATGAAAGGACACAAGTTTGTTACAGACTGTCCAAGGAATGAAAGGAGCACATCATAGTGTATTATATGGATAAGGCATTTGAGGAGGGAGGGCATATTGGGAGGGGGTTTTTTTTTTCAGAAGGGCATATTAGTATTATTCAGGATGTTGGGGATTTATAATAGAGATTGGGGCTTATATTACAGCAGGAAGGGTCTTAACAGAGGGGAAATATTTGGAAGGGTGGTGCTTATTAGGGATGGAGCTTACTAGGGAGGGTGGCGCTTATTAGGAGAGGACTCAATAGAGTGGGTACTTTATAAGGAGGGTAGTGCTTATTAGGGGGGGCTAATAGAGAGGGTGTTTATTGGGAGGGTGGTGATTATTGTGGAAGGGGCTTAAAAGGGAGGGGGCTTAATAGGGAGGGGGCTTAATAGGGAGGGTGCTTTATAGGCAGGGTAGTGATATTTGTTAAATAAATTATATCATGCACTACTTGTATCAAGTTTGCTCTACTTTACTTGTTTTCTATCCCTGATGAGCACTAGTCAAAACTGATTTATGTTGATACCAAATATGTTCCATATAGGTTTCATTAGAGTATAATATTTAAATAGTACAGTAAAACCCTGCTTTACAAAAGAACCAGTTCAGACTAGAATTCCAAAACAGCTTCTTATTTTATCGAAGAAGCAAAAATTTAAACATCAATTAAAGAAAATAAGCTCTTTATAAAGTAATGGAAACACTGTTATTTTGTAAACATCTACGGTAGGTTCTTATACGATGGGTTTTACTGTATGTTAGCTTAGTCATTAATTTATTCAAATATTTTATCCTCCTCCATTTCAAATCTGGTAAATGATTCATCTTTTGTGAGAGGGAATGTCTTCCTTATTGCATGGTATGCACATGCAGCAGTGGGATTCTTGTTTTTCCAATTACACCATACACCATCCTTGTAAACTTTCTGTATGCCACACTGTGTAAAAACCTAGAAGAAATGAACAACTTTATCATAAGTAATCGTATGTAGACAAATGCAAAAACTATTTCAATAAAATAGTATTTTATATTACAAAGAACAACCCAAAATATAATAGCTATATATAGAAACTATACATACATATAGTTCCTGATTTTGGTTACACCAACATTCATTTTTGAGATGTTGATGCTTATTGGAGACACTGGTCATGGAACGGTGTGTAACCCCATAAATATATCCCTGAAAGAGGATAAAGCTCTATATGTTGAACGGTCTGTTTAGTCTTTACATTTTTACACAAATTTTGGAAACAATTTGCCTTACCATTTATTCACTAGTAACCAAATGGCCTCGTTTCCATGTTTGCCTATTTTAGCATGGCAGGTGCACATGAAAGTTAAATATTCATGTTTCCTGCACAAGTTTGTCTCTCAATGATCTTAAGTCCAATCACAAGCTTATTCTTTACTCTCTTATGCACAAAACATGAGTTTTAATATCACATGAAAACGAGGCCATTGGGTCAAAAGTAAATAAACGGTAAGGTCTATTGAGTTTCAATATAGGTAACTCTCCCATTAATGTTTAGTAACATTGTCTGGTTTTTTAGACAGAGTAAGATAAATATGAGCACACTATTGAGACACAGTGCAGCTTCCAACATTCCTCTCAATGGTCTATCATTATCTAAGTGAAATATGAAACAAATGGTGTTCTGTAATTTTACTCTGCCTGATACTGCTGATTAGGGAAAGTCCATGAACATATAGTTCCGCATGTTCCTTTGTCAAATAAAATTGCCTGGTGTTAGAGAAATTTGTAGGTAGGGTGCATAGCAGCTTATTATTAAATGGTTAAAGTAGCAACATTCCAGCTCATAACAGCAATATATTTGCATTCTTGCCAATTACTCAAAAACCCCAGGCTACAATTTCCACATTTGCACCTAATATAAGTTATGTAATATTGACAACATGAGTGGCCTTGCCATGCCATGAAATAATCTTTAACGTAAATATGTTTATTAAAATAGTATAGTATAGTATAGTATAGTATAGTATAGTATAGTATACCGGGTGTTCCAAAAAAAAGTACTCCGGTTTGATTTATAATAACTTCTAAACAAGTATAGCTATGAAACAGAAATAACTTGCATTAAATAGAGGAAGGACTAACTTAGATTTTGATATATTACAGTTGTATTTTACTTAAAAATTCACGGAGATATTAATGTTCAAAATCGGGAGCATATTTTGGGATGTGTCTAAAATTAGCGAAAATCAGCATATCAAATATTAACTCCAGCGTTTGTTGGGTCAGTACCTAGCTATATGATCGAGGCTTGTGATTGGCTGTAGTGGTTTAAGTTAATTAAATTGATTTGTTGCGAAACTTGGCATTATATATTCGTATTACGTATGCGTAGTATAGTATTAGGTTATGTAGCTAGGCAGTCAAGGTAATTAATCTGGTAGTCAAAGTGGTCAAGGTAATCTAGGCAGTGGAGGTAGTGGAGATAATCTAGGTAGTGGAGGTAGTCAAGGTAATCTAGGTAGTGGAGGTAATCTAGGTAGTGGAGGTAATCTAGGTAGTGGAGGTAATCTAGGTAGTCAAGGTAGTGGAGGTAATCTAGGTAGTGGAGGTAATCTAGGTAGTGGAGGTAATCTAGGTAGT